GCCACTCGGTTTTATAGCACTTTAAGATGCTATATTGAAAGCTGGATGCTTGTCCTTTCTGAGCCCAGCTGACTTCAGCGATGCCGTGGGAAACCCCAGCCCTGGGACCAGAAGCTGTGAGTGTTCCATGCACGTCGGTTCCAAGGAAGCGGGACACATAGCGAGGAGCACTGGATGGGGAATCCCGACGACTGGACTCCAGACCTGGCTCAGTTAACAACTGGCTGTGCAACCTTGGGAAGCGCTCTTCATCTCTCTGAACTTCTTTCTGTTTTCTCCTGTTTTAAATAAGGGCTTTCGACCAGGTGATCACTAGCATCTGTGTGTTCCAATCTTTCCTATTTTTCTTTTTTTGAGATGAAGTCTCACCCTGTTGCCCAGGCTGCAGCGCAGTGGCGCTATCTCAGCTCACTGCAACCTCCACCTCCTGGGTTCAAGCGATTCTCCTGCCTCAGCCTCCTGCGTAACTGGGATTTCAGGTGCCCGTCACCACGCCCGACTAATTTTTGTGTTTTTAGTAGAGACAAGAGGTTTCACCATATGGGCCAGGTGGGACTTCTCGAAGTCCCAACCTCAGGTGATCCACCCGCCTCAGCCTCTCCAAGTGTTGGGATTACAGGCGTGAGCCACTGAGCCTGGCTCTATTTTTAAATATAAACATACTAAGGGTTGAGAGTCCAGGCCAAGCCCTACCATGAAGAGGTATGAACTTCAGGAGGTCAATGAACCTCTCCCTGCCTCAGTTGGAGAATAATCCTGCCCACCTCTGGCACAGAGTTTTTTGACCATGAAAAGACATTGGTGTGAAGGTTTAGAGCCAACCTGAGGAGGCAGAACACACCCTGAGAGTCACAGGAGTGCTGTGATGTGTTACAGGTGTAGCTCCCTAGTTACAGATGGGGAAACAAGCCCTGGAAGGGGAATGTGATGTGGAGACGTGGGGACAAAGCTGGAATTAGTACCCCAGGCCAACTCCCAGCCCAGGGCCCCTCTCCTGACACCACGCTGTCTTTGAGACACTTGGTCACCAGCATGGATTGTTCTAGTGACCTAGGGCACAGCACGGACGAGGAACAGGGGTTCCTCTCTGCCCCAGGACAAGGGAGGGCACATGTGTTGGGAGCTGAGAAGAAGACCCAGGTTAGCAGCAAAAGTAACAGGAGACGTCTTGGGGGACCCACTTGGGGGATGATCTCAAAGGTGCAGGAAGGACAGTGTGCGGGAGTTCATTAATACAGCCCCAAAGTGACTTTCCAGTGTGTCTCTGGTGTCACCTTCCTGGTTTCAGGGCTGGTGGATAGAAATGGATTTCTGGGGAGAGATGTGCCTGGTAATTGAGGCCATGAGAGGTGGGAAAGTTTACCAAAGAGGCGATGCTGAGCTGAACTTTGAAGAATTGGTGGGTTTTCTCACCTACTCATTCCTCAGGATTCTTTCCCAGGAGTGGAACGGTGGGAAGAGCATACAAAAGCATACATAGCACATGCTGTGGAGAGAGGTGTGGCGGGGCCCCAGAACCTCAAACACAATCACCACGTGATCCCACGATCTTGCTAGGGGTACACACCCAAAGAATTGAAAGCGGGACCGGAACAGATATTTGTACATTCATGTTCATCACAGCAGCACTCATAACAGCCCAAAGGTGGAAACAACTTAACTGTCCATCAGCAGATGAATGCACAAACAAAATGCAGTCTATACACACAGGGGAATATTACGCAGCCTTGAAAAGGAATGAAATTCTGATGCATGCTGTAACATGGATGAACCGTGAGGATATTATGATAAGTGAAATAAGCCAGACACAAACAGGCAGACATTGCATGATTCCATTCATATGAGATCTCTAGAGTAGTCAAAGTCAAAGGAACAGAAAGTAGAATGCTGGGTGCCAGGGGTTTGGGGTTAGCGTTTAATAGGGAAAGAGTTTCAGTTTGGGATGATAAAGTTCTTGAAATGGATGGTGGTGATGTGAATGCAATAATTCCCACTGAATTGTATACTTTAAAATGGTTCACATGATAAATATTATGTATATTTTACCACAGTACAAAATTATAAAAATGTAATCCCAGCACTTTGGGAGGCCAAGGTGGGCAGATCACAAGGTCAGGAGTTCAAGACCAGTCTGGCCAACATGATGAAACCCATCTCTACTAAAAATACAAAAATTAGCCAGGGTGGTGGCACATGCCTGCAATCCCAGCTACTCGGGAGGCTGAAGCGGGAGAATCGCTTGACTCCGAGAGGCAGAGGTTGCAGTGAGCTGAGATCATGCCACTGTACTCCGGCCTGAGCGACAGAGCGAGACTCTGCCTAAAAAAAATGATAAAAAACAAAAAGTAAAGAAGGAAGTATAATCCAAAAATATATGTATGGTGGCATAGTCAGAGGAAGGCACCTAGTCTGGGAGAGGCGAGAGGAAAATTGGAAAGGCAGGCTAGAGATGGAAAGTCAGTGGCCTTGAGTGAGGGCTAAGCAGGATGCTGCCACACTGATAGCTGAGAGGTTGGCTTTGTCAGCCACAGGCCACTGAACGGGGCTCCAGAGGGCCAGAAGTCCACACCAGTCACTCCTGCCTGGGAGCAGCCTCTTCTATTTACTCATTCCGTGCAGTACACAAATACTGGTCACTTTTGTAATAAGGACCAGCTTGTGCAGTGATGTGGACAGGGTTGGGAAGTCCTGCTGTAGTGGACATTGCTGTTTTTGCCTGCCTGGCATCCATCCCCCGCCTGGAACAGAACCCTGGTCTGTACACCTTTTCCATCATCTGCCCGCAGAGACTGCAGGGACTGGTTTAACCCCTGACTCCAGGGAAGGGCACATGTCAGCCCAGGTCAGCCAGGCTTCAGATTCCCCTGGCCTCAGCCACTGGCTCAGAGGCAGGCACATGACCCAGGCCTGGCATCTCAGCCCTGGCCACAGAAGTTGGGTAAAAGGTAGTCATGTAACCGGGAGCGATGGCTCACTCCTGTAATTCCCAGCACGTTGGAAGGCCAGGGCGGTTGGATCACCTGAGGCCGGGAGTTCGAGACCAGCCTGACCAACATGGTGAAACCCCATCTCTATTATAAATACAAAAATTAGCCGGGTGTGGTGGCGTACAGCTGTGGTCCCAGCTGCTTGGGAAGCTGAGGCAGTAGAATCACTTGAACCCGGGAGGTGGAAGTTGCAGTGAGCTGAGATTGTGCCACTACAGGCCAGCCTGGGGGACAGAGAGAGACTCTGTCTGGGAAAAAAAGAAAGAAGGATAGTCATGTAACCTGGTCCAAAGAGTCTTGAACTCAAGGTGTCTGTACCCTCAGCGCTCTTTGCACTGAAGAATGGAACTGCTGCTGGCCATCTGCAGGTGAGGGAGAAGCTTTTCAGAGAATGGTGCCCAAATCGGGAAGCACAGCCAAGAAACAGAGAGACCCAATGCTGATGGCGTTGCCTGACTGCCTAGATCCTGCTATGCCTGAAGCTGTCCCTGTGCTTTCCAATCATGTGAGCCATGAATTGAGTTTCGATTAAATGCACCTATATTCTGCTTTTCTAGAATGTCATGTGTGTGAGGGTTGGGACGTGGGTCATATCTGGCTGTTTCATCTGTGTGTTAGCAAGATAACTCTGGAGTAATGTGGAAGGTGAGTTGGGAAGGGTCAATTCTGGAAGAAGGGAGAGAAGTTAGTGGTGTTCTGCAGAAGGACGGTCAGAAGAAGACGGGGTGTTGACTGGATGGGGTGCACGGCCCATCTCCCTCCCTACTTCTGGGTGGCCTGTGGGCCCTTGTTAGCACTAGGGAGCTGATCTAAGCCCCAGGCCAGTCGTGCCCTTGTTGACAATGGTGAGGATGTGGACCCACTGGGGCATGCGTGCCGGTCATCTAACCTGTGGTGACAGTGGGGCCACGGGGCAGTCATTTCTGGGGATGGAAGAATAGAACAGCTATTTCTCAGGGGGAAGGTGGGCGCTCTCTTGGGTCCCGGATTTATTCTGCATCTTTACCTTAGTGATAGTTACCTGAGTGTTTCCATTTGTAAAACTGCATTAAGCTGAACATCTCACGATTTGTGCATTTTACTATGTATAAGTGAAACCTCAATTAATTTTTTTAAATTTCATAGCTCTTGGAGCTGCAACTCACATTTCACCCTACGTCAACATGAACAGTGGCTAACATTTATTGAGCCCCTGCTGTGGGCCAGGCCTGTGCTCAGCTTGTCGTATGCTTTACGTCACTGAAGCCTCAGCATGCTGTGAAGCAGGTGGTACTCTTATCTCCATTCCACACATGTGGAAGCTGGGGCAGGGACCCCACGGCCAGTCATGGCCAGAGTCCAGGTTTGGGCCCAGGCTCCAGAGCCTCTCTCGAGGCTTCCCTGGGGTGGTGTGTGCTTGGGTAACTTGGCAGGCTCTCCTCTCTCACCCCATGAAGACAGAGACAGGTCTTTTTTTTTTTTTTTTTTAAATTTTGGAGTCTGTTTGCCCAAGCTAGAGTGCAGTGGTGCTATCACGGCTCACTGCAGCCTCAGTCTCCTAGGCTTAAGCCATCCTCCCACCTCACCCTCAAGTAGCTGGTACTATAAGCACATGCCACAATGCCCAGCTAATTTTTAAAATTTTTTTGTAGAGGGGGGTTTTGCCATGTTGCCCAGCCTGGTCTCAAATTCCTGGACTCAAGTGATCCTCCCATCTGGGCCTCCCAAAGTGCTAGGATTACAGATGTGAGCCACTGGGCCTGGCCCAGAGACAGGTCTCAGTCACTGTTCGCTCATCAAGTGAAAATGGGTGACCTGGGCACAGCCCCACAAGGCACCCTGCCACAAGGCCAGGACCCAGCTCAGCAGGATTCTGGGTGTGGCTACAGAAGTCACACAACAGAGAGTCGTTGGAGAGAGAACACTGGGGCTGGGAGGATGCTCCACTTCCCTGTCACCCTCCGATCTTGTCCCCGATTCATTCGGTACCCCCACCCCCTCAGGGGATGAAGGCCTGGCTGCCAGCCATCTTACCGTGCCCGGATCCCAAATGTCATGTTTGGAGGGAGAGAGGGCGGCTCCTTCTTCAGGCGCCGGTCATCCTGGTCACTGATGCGGATATCGTTGAGCTGACGGTAGAGGAAGTTCTCCCGGGCAGTCACCAGGCCAGCTTTCACTGCCCCGCGGTTCATTGCAATGTAGTTCCGGGTCAGCTCGTGGGGACAGGTGGGCTGCTGCTTAAACACGTTCCAGCGTCCGATGGCTGAGGGCAGGGAGAGACCCCCAGGGCAGGGTCAGCCTGGGAGGAAGCACCTCAAGGCAGCTGACAGAGAAGAAACGGGGGCACGCGGGTCTTTGACCTTTCCATTTACCTGAGCCTTCTGGGTGACAGCCCTGCCTGGCCCCCAGAAAGCATGATGGCCTGAAAGGGAGGGGGCAGGGCTCCCAGATGCCAGAGGGTTCCCGAGCCAAGCATCTGCGCTGGAGCTGGGCTGGCCTGGCCCTTGACTTCCTCTGGGCAGGCAGAGCCCTGGGCAGGTCACGGGCTCATTCTGTGCTCGTAACCCACTCAACACAGCACCCATAGTCCCTGCCGAGAGTGCTGGTGCCAGTTCTCTGAAACCGCACACCAGGGTCCTGCCTGACCCTCTTCATCTCGGCTGCGCCCTGGGTTTGACCCCTCAGCTGCCCCGGCTGGCAGTCCCTGGGTCTTTCTCCAGCACCCAACCAGCTCCCAAGCGGCAAGCTAGGGCTCTGTGAAGAGGGGTCAGCCACCCGCCCACTCCTCGGCCCTCATGCTCCAAAGCGTGCTCCCTCACCTTCAGGGACCCCTCCATCAAGCCCTCGGATGTAGAGTCCGTAATTAAAATCAATGCCGGGCAGACTGCAGCTTCTTTCCCGGGGCTTGCCGAGTTCAGCCTGTCGGGGGAAGGACAGAGGGCAGAGGTGAGGAGTGGAGTCTCAGACCACCCATATTGTAACCTGGCAGCAGGGAGGCACCGGATGCCTGCGTTACCCCAGGCCTTGTGCACGGCCTTCAGGGTGGCACAGGAGCGGGTGGCAGAGCCCTCCCTGGGAGGAGCGCAGGCTGCGGCTGGCGTGGGGCCACACAGTAGAAGCTGGTCCTTGGTCCTCGTGTCTGCGCTAAAGGTGAATGAGGATGTTGGAAATGGGAGGTCTCTCGGCACCTCCGTATTGGGGTGGGAAGCACAGTCCCCGAGCAGAGCAGCTGTGTTTGGGGAGAAGCTGACTGGTTCAAGCTGGAAATGAAAGACCCAGTTCAGGAGGCCTCATCTGGAGGCCCTGTCGAGGGAGGAGGACATCTTTCTTACCTTCATCCCCACCTTCCTCCCACCAGGGACCACTCAAACCGTCAGCCCCGTAGCACATGAGGAAATCGCTTCCTCGAATCCTCAGTTTCTGGGGAAGATACAGTGACAGGGTGCTGCCACCCTCTGCACCTGGCCAGCTGTCCTTACTCCCTGGGACTCTAGGGAACTCGTTGGCCTCTCAGAGGGGGTTTGTACAGTGAAATTGCCCTGTCATCAACCACATTAGCCCCCCTATTTATAGCTGTGGAAACAGGCCTAGAGAGGCAGGGTCCACATTCACGGCCCCCAAGTGCTGGGCAGGGCATTGCACTGAGACACGCCTGTCCTGTGGGCTGACGCTCCTGATCATTCTGCCACGAGTCTCCCTTTAGCGCAGTGGCTCCCCACAGTCAGAGGCCCTGTCCTGCACAGTACACAGATGCCCATCCGCATCTGCTCCATCGATGGGCACCTGCTGGGTTCTGACTGCATCCCAGGCACGACGTCTGGGGCTCCTTGGCCATCCCTCATGTTGTCTGCACAGCCACCTGGGAAGACGGTGTTTCTCAGGGGAAAGCTGAGTCACAGAGAGATCTGATAGGTGACCTCGGATCAAGCAGTAGGAGGTGGCAGAGCTGGGACCACAACCCAGGCTGGCTGCCCCCACCCACTCTCAGATCCACAAGCCAAAGAAATGCCCACAGCCCCAGCTTCTTGTGGTGCCAGTAGGTCCCAGGGCCATTACGGAGAAGGGTGGGTGCAGCTGCTCCTCCCGCTGCCCATGAGCCACAGGCTGAGGACTCAAAGTCACAGGGTGTTGTTACATCTCTCAGGAGCTCTCTGCTCTGGCTGCACCCAAGACTCCCCAAAGGGTCTAGTGGGCTCTGGTCTCACTGTCTCCTGCCATCTCATCTATATCCCCATCTCTCCAGCTCCCACAGGTTGGGTGCTGAGAGGTAGACGGATGGTCAAGGACGACCCATCGTGGCTCAGCACTGCTGCTGGAATAAAACCTCCCTCAACTGGTAGTCCAGGCCCCACAGCCTCCTACCCACCCAGCCCTGCAGCTTGGCCTCGCAGGCTCTCCCACAGCCCCTCGTTGAGACAGACAAGCCCACCCCCCTGCTCTGAAGGATCGCAGGTATCCCAGCTGCCTCTGTTGCTCTTTGCTCAAGACCCACCCTTACTGGTCCTTATTCTTCAAGCCCTGTCTCTGCCAGAAGCTCTCAGGACCCCTGGGTTCACCATGGCTTGCCCTCATCTGAACACCAGTGACTCTTACCATCTGTTCTATTCATTTGGGGCTTAGAACTTGCCACCTTCTCGATTTCTAGGAATTCACATGCAGCCCACCCTGCCTGGATTACACACTCCCACCCGTACAGAGCCATGGCTCCTATGACCTTCTTTTTCCTGTTGGCATACAGCAGGTACAAAATAAATGCCTGATATTAAAAACCACTTCCTCTGGAAAGTCTTCCCAGATTGGCATCAGTCCTAGACAAGCCTCCTTATTATATGGTGGCTCTGCAGCAGCCTCAGCCTACCTTCATGGCACTTACAAAATGACAGAGTAGCACCTTTCAAGGGATGGAAAGTAGCTTCATGGTTGCCAGGGCTGGGGACAGGTAGGGGGAAGAGATGGAGAGATGGACAGCTGTGATGGCTAAGGGGCGTTCTTTGGGGAGTGATGAAAATGTTCTAAAATCGATTGTGGTGTGATGGTTGCACAACTCCGTGAATGTATTAAAAGCCACTGAATTCTACATTGTAAATGGGTGAATTGTAGGAAATGTGAATTACATCTCAAATAAGATCACAAAGTCGTGTAATTAAGTCATTCATCGCGTAAGGATCAGTTTAATGTTGGTCTTCCCTCACGAGCCTGTGTGCCCCACAAGGAAAGGGATCCAATCTTTATTTTTTTAAGGTTATGTTTAAAAAAATTGACTTAATATTTTACAGCAGTTTTAGGTTCCCCACAAAAGTGAGCAGAAGGTTTGGAGATGCTTTGTATACCCTGTCTTTACTCCCATTCTTCTTTTCTCAGTGTGGAACAGCTGCTAATGAATAGGGGTTGAACAAATGAGTGGGTGAAATACTCCTGTCTTAGTCAGCTTAGGCTGCCATAGCAAATTATTACTGACGGGGTGGCTTCAACAATAGGCATTTATTCCTCAAAGTTCTGGAGGCTGGGAAGTCCAAGATCTAGGCACCAGCAGACCCGGTGTCTGGTGAGGGCTCTCTTCTTGGTTTGCAGATGGCCGCCTTCTTGCTGTATCTTCACGTGGCAGAGAACAGAGAGAGTTAGCTTTCTTCCTCTTCATTTAAGGGCACAAATTCCATCACGAGGGCTCTGCTTTTATGGCCTACTCATCTCCTAAAAGACCCACCGGCTAATGTCATCCCATCCGAAGTTAGGTTTTGAATGTTGGGGGTACACAGACATGCAGTTCATACAGCCTACTTTGAGACCATTGGCTCTTTTCTACACAACAGTTGTTTCTCTCCCTCTTCTTTTCCATCTCAAATCCCAGCCCCCAATGCCCCTCAAGAGTGACAGAGCTCTGAGTCTCAGGCAGGTGCATGGGGACTCCGCAGGGTGGCTTATTTTGAATTACTTCCATGCTATGCTATTTGAGCTACAGACAAAGCTCTGGCCTCTCATTTGTTTATGAAAATGATCCAGCCTCTCCAGTGACTGCCGGGGAAGTTAATTAAAACGTGACTTCTCTGGGAGAGGCCCCACCTCCCTCAGGGCAAATGCAGGTGGGCAGAGTTCCAGCTGGCAGGGGAATGACAGACAGACTCAGGAGCTGGCTGCCACCCTCAGGTGGCGGGGGGGGGGCAAGGGAGCAGGTGGGTGCCTCAATCTCTGCTCTTTCGTGTGGTTGCCTGGGAATCAATAACTGTTCAAACATGTGGAAGCCTTAGACTACAAAGAAAATTCATCCCAATGGGAGGTTTGCTCATACTTTCATTCCTACAAATATTTATTTTGTACCCACTCAGCGCTAACTCCGTGCTTGGAGTTCTAGGATGAACAGATCAGACACACAGCCCTGCTCTTATGAAATTCACTGTCTTGCAAAAAGCACAGTTAAGCAATGGCAATCATGTGCACCAGAGTATTTGATGTGGAAAGCACAAAGTGCCCCTGATTCTAAAACAAAGGAGTCTTATCCATCATATATAAAGAGTTACTACGAATCAATAAGAAAGAGGCAGATAATCCTATAGGAAAAAAAATGAGCAGATTACTTGAATAGGAACTTCTTTAAGAGGATGTCCCAGTGGCCAAGACCCATATGTCAAGGGGTCAACCTCTGGGAAATGCAAAGAAAAAATTCAATGTTATTGGTAAGGATCTGGGGCAACTGGAATTCTCTTCCACTTGGTGAAAATGTAAACTGCTACAACCACCATGGAAAACTGTTTGGCAGTATCTCTGCCGTAAAACTAAACATATGCCTGCTCAATAACCCAACAATTCCATCCTGGACATCCAGCAGAAATGAATGTGTACATCCACCAGGAATGCAGCAGTTCAGTTCATGCTAGCCAACTGCCAGAAACAACCCTAGTGGCCATGACTGGCGGATAAAAATCTGTGACATATTTATAGCACAGAATACCTTGCAATAATGATCCCAGGGTGAGAATGTGCCCTAGAGGACATCTGGCCATGTCTGGACACATTTTTGGTCATAACAGCTTGGGAGGGGGCACTGTCCTCCATCTAGTTGGTAAAGGCCAGGAATGCTGCCAGACAATCCACTACTTCAAGGTGCTATCCGTCCCTTGATGCCAACAGTGCCCACAGAGATTAAGAAACTCTGAGAATGAGCCAGATGCGGTGGCTCACGCCTGTAATCCCAGCCCTTTGGGAGGCCAAGAGAGGCAGATAGTTTGAGCCCAGGAGTTTGAGATCAACCAGGGCAATATGGCAAAACCCCATCTCTACAAAAAATATAAAAATAGCTGGCTGCAGTGGCATGTGCCTGTGGTTCCAGCTACTCAGGAGGCTGAGGTGGGAGAACTACTCAAACTCAGGAGGTAGAGGCTGCAGTGAGCTGTGATTGAACCATTGTACTCCAGCCTGGGTGACAGAGAGAGGCCCTGTGAAAAGAAAAGGAAAGAAAATAAAAAAGAAAAGGAAGGAAGGAGGGAAGGAAGAAGGAAGGAAGGAAGGAAGGGAGGGAGGGAGGGAGGGAGGGAGGGAGGGAGGGAGGAAGGAAGGAGAAACTCTGAGAATGAAAAAACATCACTGTGGTTAACCACATGCGTGGTCCTCACATAAAGTGTGGAGTGAAAGAAGTGAGACCCCCAGGAGATGCCCTGCTCCACGGGAATGCAGCCAGACACCAGCAGAACTCATCTCTGGGTTTCCAAGTCAGACATGCAGGCCCCTGGGTGGGGGCAGTGACAGAAAATAGCACCGGGGGCTTCAGGGGTCATGACATTCTTGACCCAATGTGTGCCCTTTGCACTGTACCCCCGGCTGCTGCCCTCCCTCAGGAGCCATTCATCTGTGACTGTGGCTGCCAACCCTTTCCCTCAACTCCCTGCTGATGGAGCAATGTGCTCTCTGTCCGCACAGGAGACCCA